ATTATTGCCATATATTTCAATTTAATTAGGTAGTTAATTAAAAAAAGTCAACTTTTATCTTTTTAATATTAATTAATATTAAAAAATATAATAATTACACTTTTATACTATATCCTAAAAAGCACATGTTAAAAAAACCTAATTCACAATTCAAATCTTTTTTATTTTTTGGGCAAGCACAATTCAAATCAATAGTAACAAATACTGAATTAACTTTAAACAACAAAGAAGAAGGCATGCCAGTCGAGTGACCTAACAGTTTAATGTAAGTCTTCTTCATCATAACAAGGGTTCGATCTCCCTCCCCATTTCCCTCCTCCCGAACCACTTGCCCTAATAAAAAAAAAAAAATTTAAACAACAAAAATATGAAATTTCAAGATTTAAGGAACTTATCTCAAGTGTTTATTAGAAAAGAAAAATTAAACTATTTCCCCCTTTTTTTTTTTTGTTAATTTAGAGGATTTTACATTTTTGTTAAATCTCAATTAGCAGAAAGAAAAAACATGCTAAAACTATTATTGATTTTTTTTTTCTTTTTGGTGGTTAAGGTATTCTTCTCTTATCATTTAACTAACCTTTTTTTAAATGTACCATAAAAATATAAGTTAAAGGTATATTTATTACATTTTTGTAATTAATTTATAGAGAAGATATAAATATTGACTTTGATAAATTTAATTAATCAATTAAAATGATTCACATTGTAATAGTATTAAAATAAAGAAATAATTTTGAATTTTTTACACTCTCTTTGTCCTACAATAATAGTTATTTTTTAACTTTTTTTCTAAATTAAAAATTTAGAAATAATATTTATATCTATCTATAATAAAAGACAAAAATAAATTTTTAATGATTGGATGATTAATTAAAGTGAATAAATAATGACAGGATTAAAGTAGAAAAAAATATTTGTTTTTCTTAAAAAATAAAAAATAAAAAATAATTTAAGACAAATTTAAAGTATAACATTGATAATTATTTTAAGATAAAAGGAGTATACTATAAGGATTTTTTTACATGTGCCTTAGAGCACATGTTAAAGGTGTGTTAATTATACCTTTTATAAAAAAGGGTTTGTCTAATTTATGCCTTTAGAGCACATGTTAAGCTTTATTAATTACAAAATCTATAATTAATTTTACATAAATTTTTATATCAAATTTATATCTTTTTATAGATTTTGAGTACAAATATTATATTTTATTTTAATTGAATTAGGTATACAAATTTATACAAAATTAATTAAAGATATTATACTTAATGAAATTTAACTTGTGTCATAATTAAGTTAAATACTCAGGCACTATTCTTCATCCCCCAAAATTCCTTAAGCTCAAAA